TTAAGTTCCGAGCCCTAGTTATAACCAGTTATCTGGTATTCAATACAGAACACAAATAGTATTCTTATCTACGATAATTATTTTTTTGAGGAGATACGAATGTTTTGGTAATTTAATTGTTAAATTGTTATTTTCCATGTTGTTTATCAATTATCATAGTCCTGAAACGGATTTGACCTATTCATAAATTACCTTAGTTTTGGAATATTAATTTAAATTTGAAGAATAATGTCTTCATCGGTACCTATCATCAGACGAGAATGACAAAGACATTGAAATCCATTGTTTATTTTAAAATGTTTTCAAACAACTGTATGAAATTAAAAATTAAATAAGTAAAATAAAATAATAAAAATTATTGATAATGAAATTAATTAATAACAATTATTTTAAGTGATAACATACGTTAAATCAAATGATAAAAATATATTTATTTATTTATGGTTCTGAAAATTTTACAGAGTAGAAATCTAAGCTACAAGTTATCGAGATATCAAAACTATTCATTTTACAAAACAGTTTTTAATTTTATAGAACAGATAACTAGTTAGGTATCGGTTCTGTAAATATTCATGCAACAGGGCATAACTCACATAGATAGTTTATATTATAACATAAGTATAAGTGCTGTCTAATAATTTTGCAGTTGGTTAAACAGACAAATGAAAAAAAAAAAATCGTTGACTCGTTAAGTTAAAAGTTAACTTTGAAAAAAAAACTAACTTAACTTTTTACAGTTTAAAGTTAAAATTTTCTAATTTGCAAAAATAAAAAATTGCACTCATAATATTAGTTTTTAACGCTCAAGAATATTACTGGGGAATTTTAAAATGATACATAAATGTATTAACTATCTATCAAAAAACCAAAAATCAAAAATAATAAACTTTCACAGAAATATAATAAGCTTATAGAGTAATCAACTAATAACAATATATTATAAATTCTAACGTGAACAGAATACATGCTAGTTGAATAATAAAATTAAATTGAAAATTATATCACAGTTGTTTTATGATTAATCCCCCATCGACACTCGCTCTCATAGTATTTACTATTTTCGCAGAATATTCTTAGGATTTTCATGGGTTTATAGTGTTTATACAATAACAATGTTATAAAAAAATAATGATAAAATATAGCCCATATGATGACTGTTAAAGTTATTTTTCATATTATTTTCGTCTACAAGAAATTCATATTAAAATAGTAAATTATAAATACACTAAAAACTTCATTTAATAATTTGCATTATTCTTTGTACTAAAATTAACTTTATTTAGATACTTTTAATAAAATTAACCTTAAGTTAAAACGTTAATCTTAAAAAAAAGTAACTTATTAAGTTAAAAGTTAATTTGTAAAAAAAATTAACGAGTTTATTAACTTCATTAAAATTAACTTAACGTTTTAACTAAATTTTAACTTTTAACTTGTTAATGCTCAGCCTTATACAGACAGGTTAACCTCGACATGAAATACTAAGTTATATAATATTTTAAAATACAAGAAAGATTCAGTGAATTTAAAGATGAGTTTTATTATATTATATTATTGAGTAAATTATAATTATGATTTTTTTATATTAATGATTTTAATGATTTAAATACCATATTATCTCAAAATTGGGATCCCAAAACCATAATATTAAAAAATCTCCAATTGTTTTTTTTTTTTATATAAAAATAATATTAAACAAAAATATAACTAACTAACTTATTCGTAAATAACTACAAAAAATAACAATACAAGTAAGTTGATGAAAAAATGAATTCTTAAGTAGTTAAAAATAATCAAAATCTACAACATATTAATTAACATTTATTTCAACCAACAGTAAAAATTTAACTTCCATCAAATTCAATAGTATTGAAAATAGTTTAATAAGAATAATACATTAGTAATACATTCCTAATAATAATAATAATAATTATATTTAATAACAAATAATAAATATATAATAATAATAATGTATATTTAATAATTTATTAGTAATACATTCCTAACTTTAATAATTTTTTTTTTTAGGGCATTTAAATTTCTTATAACTGCTATATAGAGAACAATTTTCAATTGCATTATTTACAATTTTTAGAGATTTTGCACCTTTCAAATTATACCTCTCAAAAGTACCAACTATGAGAAATTCCCTGTCAGAAAATATATAGCTTTATATTCTTTGAAGCAGTCATTCTGGTCGAAATCGTGTACTCAGACAAACTTATATATATAAGTAATATGATTACTATGCAAATTAGATATCATATAGTTATATTTAACTTATAATTTAATAATATAACATGTGTCTATTATTAGCGCAATAGTGTCAATAATTCATCGTCCCTGTAATCTAATGAAATCTGCAGTTTTCTTATTTTAAAATGTTAGTAAAATATCGTTGAATTGTATGTACTTATACACGTGAAATTTCATAGCAAAGATGTTTGTGAAAATACAAGTAAAAATATGTTTTAAAAATTTGAAAAACCTTACCTTGTTGGCCATAATAAAGAAAAAAAAATAGTTTTTGAATACTATACAGAATACGACTGTATACCAGTAGAAACACAGAACACTGAATAACTTATAATAAGAAAAATGATTCCAACAATATCAAATATAATTTAATATTAAATAATATTAAACGTATGAATGTCTAAATTTAGAAACACTGTGTGGATAGTAATCCACTAGATACACAAGACAAAACCAAGAAACCAAAAAGGCCAAGTTATTAACTGTACAGAGTATACTCAGAATTCACCTATTGTTGTTATCTCGTATATTTTAGTCACAATGAATATTATATGTTACTATAATTATATTACGTACTAATATAATATTATAAGTTCATTGTATATAACACCAGTTTAACTCACAAGTTGTATTAAATTTTAAAATACCGTATTATAAATGAATTCTTGTTATAATGCAAAATAAAATAAATCTGTAAATTAATCTTCACGTAATTGATATATGAGTACGAATTTTTTTTTTAAATGTTCATTGAGTAAAAATGATTTCTATTAAATATAATAATGTAATAATGGAAAGTAATTTAAACAGAATACAAATTCTGTGAAGGTTTGGAGTCGGTAGCTTGATTTAGGGGGGCCAACTTCACGCACATCGGAACCAAGTCCGATTGCCAAATTCTATCATGATTTTTTTTCATCAAAAACTCTAACAGAATAATCAAAAAATATTGCAAAATAAAGGTGCCCTAATATAAAGTAGGAAACTATTAATTGACATATTTATTATAAACTAAATTTAGCCTAATCTGTAATCTCTATCCTGATTTCTAGTGCTGCAATCAGAGTTGGGCATTAGTCGAATAAAATATTATTCGATTGATTATTTGAATAAAAAATTATTCTTCATTGATTTATTCTTAATTTTATTATTGATTTTTATTTTTATTCATTATTTTAATTTGTATTATTATTCGTTATTCATTATTCGGAGATTTTTATTTACTATATTTTATTCATTATTTAGTTATTCATTATTCATTATTCGTTATTCGTTATTCGTTATAATCATATAAATAATAAATTTAAATTCAAAATAACGATGTATAGTGATAATATACTTATTATTTAGACTTGAATAATATATATAAAGGTAATACATATTAATATATATAATAATTGACAAAAATAAATTAACTATACTTTTATATTTAATATCATTATTTATTTAATATCATTCATGATTTTAACGAATAAATTTATTCTGAATAATTGTTTTATTAACGCTTAAAACTATTCAGAATAATTTTATTCTTTATTCAGTACACCACAATTATTCAGAATAAAAAAATATTCTTTATTCATAAATAAATTAGTTATTCAGGCTTTTATTTTTTATTCATTATTTTGATTTGTTTTTGCCCAACTCTGGCTGCAATACCAAATAACAATATATTATCACAAAACATTTATCACAATTTAATTATCGGAAAAGATAAATAATCTACGTGCGTATTGATGTAATGTGGTGCACAGCATTTTATATAATTCATTGTAAAATTTTGTATTCTTGTGCGTGTAAGTAAGATATATTTTAATGTGAATTTTGAAATGGAATTCGACTCAAAAACATAATTTTATGTACGTAAATTTTACATATACATACATTCGTATTATAATATTATATAAGCCAGATCAGTCGATAGGAACCCGGTCGTAAAATGGATTATATTTTGATTCGGTTCGATAAGAGAAGAAATTAATGATCATTTTTATTTTATTGAATGAAGAGTCAAAGAGTTATTTTCGGATGAAAAATAACATTTTACTTTTTTTTCATAAAGTGGTTAGTTGATGAAAACGATAATATCATGTGAAATGGAAGTTTTAAATAGGGTTAGTTGAACAAGTTTACTTTTGGTACTCAAATATAGGTGCTGGCATTGGACTTGACTTTTACCATGTTATATGTCTCCAAAATAATCTTGCGATATCGTAGTAGTAGTAGTAGTAGTAGTAGTAGTAGTAGTACAAACATCACGCCGGCAATATCGAATACTTAGATGTGTCATATTTCCTCGACGTGTCGTGATTTCGGTTGCAATCATTGTAACAATATTTGTTATTCCTACTGTTCTCCGGCTAACCTTAACACACGGTGCATCACAGAGGGCTTACCGCATTTCGAGTGCTTCCGTCCACTGATTACAATGAATCAAAAAGCATTGCGGCTTAAGCCCAATGTAATACACTCCATCAAATCATACCTTTTATACCATTATTACCAATTATACCATTGTATCTAACTTCAAAAACAAACATACTACCGATGAGATTTTACCAATACCCAGAAGTATATATCCCCCCCCCCCCCCGAAAAAATGTATTGAAACTATTAACTATTAACTCCTGCGGTGTACCACAGGTGAATGAACACTGGGCGGAATGAACTTGTAAATCGTTCCGCTCTCGTTACGCTATCCCCGCGGCATTGTAATGATTGTCGACACGCGTATCTGTTTGCAGGTGCTGTGTGAAGTGGAAACGGCGTTGCGAAGCGCGAGCACGTGGCACCATGACTGGCGGGTACCGCACGGTGCAAAAGCCGTGATCGTCGGAGGCGCCGGATGGAACGCCAACCCTGACCACACGGCCATGGTGATCCAGGACTGGGGCGTGCTGATCGTTTACTACAGGTTCCTTAAGGAATGGCTGTTGATCAGCCGGAAAATGGTCCAGGACCAGACGGACGTGCGACCGGACCCAATCTCGTCACCGTCGTCGTCGTCCTCGTCTACGCGGTCGCCGTGCACCAGGCACCACAAGTGCAGGTCGACGGGGCGCGGTCACGGTCCACCGCTCGGCATCGTCACGTAGCAACGGCAGTGATAGCGCAGTCATAGCAGCGGTTAGTCGAAGTATACACACGTAACCGTCCCGCGATCTATCACTCGTTACCGCAGCGACCGCGATGTCGGTTTCGTGCGGATTTCGGACGAGCGTCGCTTCCCTCGGTCCGAATAGATCCCGTGCAATACGACTGCGGTACCTGCGCGACCAGAATTCGACAGCTTTGAATGCAAGGTGCGAAGAGGCGAAGGGTCAGTGATAGAAAAAGAGGATAAATTATTAAAAATAATTCGCCCCCCCCCCTAATTCCGTGTATCGTATGTTTTATTTTATTTTTTCGATACACAACCCGCACCACGTGTATTCCAAATCCGTGTATCAGACGTACGTTATTTTATTACCATTCAAATATTTATACGAATAGTTTTAATAGATATATACAATTTTGAACAATTCATACAATGTTAAACGCGAATTGAGACTGAGTCTTTTTATATATGTTCATATATTTTATATTCTCGATGCAATACGATTATAAATTTTAAGTTAGGGTATAGTTATATTATTACTATTATGTGTACGCGTATATGTGTTAGAAAAATGTAATAGAGACGGGTCGAATTATCTGCCGTGTATATATATATATTTTTTTTTGTTCTCTACCGAATTTCACCGTCCTGATCTTACGTCATGATATTATATTATAAGGTTAAGTTATATATCTGCTACGAATAGGTGTACACTAATTTTAGTGTACCGTATTCCTATACGATAACATACGGATGGTATGCTGTGTTAATTAATTTAAATATTGTATAGGGTCAATGATAACGACATTATATTACACAAAGTCGATTCGGTATTAACAGCGACTTCATTTTACTTATGTATAATTGTGATAAATAAAATAATGAAATACCTACATCAATGTACTTTTTTGCTGCGCGCAAGCATTTGCAAAATATAATAATAATAATAATAATATGTTCTTGTCTTAAAGTTGCTGATTTATTATCATTTACATAGTTCAGCGCGTTTGAACAATAAAACGAAGTACGAGTAAATCTAAAATACAATATGATTGTCGCATCAAAACACTAACGTAATGTCATTTAAGAATGTCTTGGTGTTTGAGCGCATAATATGCCAGGCCCACCGATTTCACGTTATGAAAAAATATATCATTATTGATTTTCTGGGCGCTGGGTACCATTTAGATGGTTTAGTAATTACCATAGGTGCTACTGAAAATCTTGTCAGAGGGGGGGGGGGTAAATCATACATAGTACATAAGCTGATCTCTACAATTATTTAAGTTAAATATGTAGGAATATTTTTTCAAATTGTGTGACAATACAAAGTTATTTTAGTTTTTTTCGACGGCTATAAAGTAATTCTTGTTACAAGAAAATCCGATAGCCATAATAATTGTCACTATTCTAGATTTTTGAATCTTATTGTTTTTTCTTTAAAGCCAAAGAGATGCAAATACACCCCTTGCACCCCCTCGCGGTGCCCATTATAATATTATATAATTATAAATAACGAAGCTTAAAGACAAATAAACAGCAACGGATCTGACGTTGGAATATTGTAGCACAATCTCGTTTAATAGTTTAGTTTGGAGATTTATGGTCCTCCTGCACCTTTAATACTTCTGTTAACGGTATTTATTTATTTATTTATTTTATTTATTGTCTACAAAGTAGGTGATGTCACACTACTTTTGATAGAATATACGCTAAGTATACGTATAAAAGAGTATACGCTTTATCGTACCAGCAATATTCTGTGTCCTACGCATGGACCATGTACATAATATTATTGCAATAGCCACCACGATACAGAACGTACGATTAACAAGAACAACGAAGGTACTGTGGCAACAATTAAAAGTCTACGTCCGTTAAATGTCCACACATGTATGAGCCGAACTAAAACGCTATCAACTTTTGCCCGATCGAAGCACTTTCTAAACGTTTACAATATTTTAAACGAGTAAAGATAAGATCCGTTTTAAATGCTCAATCATTTATTGTGCACCATTAAATTCGTATAATAATAATTAGGGCTCGGAAGTTGTTGCATTTGCATGATTTTTTTGAACCATTAGATTTATTGCTAAGCAAGCTAGAAATTCATTCCAAGATACTACGAAAAACATATCAAAAGTTTTTAGTGCATATTTTTGCATATTTAGTGATTTTTAGATTTTAGAGCATATTTCTTAATTTTACAATTTTTTAAAGCATATTTTATAATTTATGGAGATTAGGAGATTCAACATGAAAATTTGTAAATAAAAAAATAAATACATTCATATTCAGAGACCTTACTAAATATTCTTGTATCGTATTGTTCAAATTTCCATTTGACATTAAAAACTGTTTTTCCCCTATCGGTTAATATGATATAATATTAATATATATACATAAATTACAACTACAGATAGCTTTATCTAAAATAGAATATTATACAAATCTAAAATAGAAACAGCTGCTATCGAAGTACGACGATTTTCTATAAATACTTTTATAGGAAAATAACTCAATGATTATTGACTATTGTTAATGGCATTTATAGACCTACCGCTTAGATATTTTTGTCAGTTCCGGCTTATACGTCCGTGTTATCTGTTGTAGTAAGTAGTTCTATGCGTCATTCTTGTTTCAATTACCTACTTATATTATTTTTATTTCATAATGCCGAAAACCAAACAATCTGCGAAAAATCATTTGAATAGTTTTGTTTTGGAATATGGTACGGATATATTCAAAACCGACGGAAGTATTTTATTCTGTAAGTTATGTTAAGTGAAAGTTAACAGTGATCGAAAATTTGTGGTCACTCAACACGTTAACACTGAGAAACATAAACGAGCAATTATTAGAAAAAACGTAAAAAACATAAATTCTGAAATTCAACAGCTAGTAACTAATACTCCGAAAAAGTGTCTTTTTTCACACGATTTGTGTAAAGTATTATTGTCAGAAAATATACCACTTTACAAAATAAGTAATCCTCAATTAAAATCATTTTTAGAAAAGTATACGTCAAGAGAAATTCCTAGTGACTCGACACTACGCAAAACTTATGTCGACGACAAATACGAAGAAACTATAAAAAATATAAAAGAACAAATTAAAGGAAATAAAATATGGGTGTCTATCGACGAAACAACAGACTCTGAAGGCAGATATGTAGCTAACGTTATAATAGGAACTTTAAATACTGACGCACCGGGAAAAACTTATTTGCTAACAACCGAAGTTTTGGAAAAAGCAAATAATTCAACGATAGTTAAACTTTTTGATCATTCAATGTTCGTCCTCTGGCCAAACGGAATTCGTCATGATAACGTCCTATTGTTTGTGACCGATGCCACACCATACATGGTGAATGCTGGGCGAATACTTCAATCACTGTACTCTAAAATGATACACTTAACATGTCTCGCACACGGTATCCATAGAGTAGCCGAAAGTATACGGGAAAAGTTTAAGAAAGTTGATAAACTTATTTCCAGGGTTAAACAGGTGTTCTTAAAAGCGCCTTCACGTGTTTTAGTGTTTAAAATTGAAGCACCAGCCATACCACTTCCACCAGAGCCAATACTAACTAGATGGGGTACATGGATAATGGCAGCTTCCTATTACTGCAAATATTACAAGGATATACGTAGAGTATTACTAAGTATAAATTCTGAAGATGTAATTTCTGTTAAAGAAGCTCAACAGTTAATTCAAGATCCCAATATGGAAGCTAATTTAGTATACATACATTCAAATTTTGGATTTATACCGGAATATATTACGAAACTTGAAACACAATATATTTCACTATCCGAAGCATTATCTGCAGTTAAATATGTCCAAAATAAATTAAACGACTGTGAGGGTGAAATTGGTGTTGTGGTATTTCAAAAATTCAATAATGTATTGGAGAAAAATTGTGGATTTAAAACGATACTTAATATTTCAAAAATATTAAGTGGACTAGAAAGTTCAATGGAAGGTCTTCCTGATGATTTGACCGGTGACGATATTACTTCAAATATGCGCCGATTACGTCAACTGATGTTGAACGTAGTTTTTCAAGGTACAAAACTTTGCTCGTGGATAATCGGTGATCTTTCAATTTTGAAAACATTAAAAAAAGTTTAGTGGTCCAATGTAACACTTTGGAAGGTAAGAACAAAATTATATCCAATGCATTTTAATTATTAATTAAAATACTTTTTAATTAGGCATGTACCTGGTGGTTTTTCTAATTTAGTAATTTGTGTTATGTATTTCAGGTGTATAAATATAACTCGACAGAAGTGCATTTTTTTACTCAAGGAACATTTTTAATTTTTAAAGCGATTTTTTTATTATTTTTTTGTTTAAATTATGATTAAAAAATATAAATAAAAATAACTTTTATTACTTTGTTTTTTTTTTTTATTAACAAATTTAAAAAAATATTTGTGCTAATGAAAATGTTGTTTAAAATAATTAAATATAAGTGCATATTTTTAGAGCATATTTGTACTTTTTTAAGCGCATAAGTGCATACATATTTAGTACTTTTTAAGTGCATTAAGTTCCGAGCCCTAATAATAATATTACTATTTCAACAACATATTAATGTCTAACAACATATTAGACAAAATTAATGAAAATTAACGAATAACTAAACTAACGACTGGTGCACTACACTAATCACAGTAATAAATATTTAATAACATTCCATTGTACTGTTATCAATCACTGATGTCTTTAAGGAGGTAATCATCGACATTCACTCTTTTATAAGGTTTTATTCAGTGCTTGATTTGGCAAAATTAAAGAAGGGGACTCTGTTTGCTTAAAAAAAAATTACGTCCCCAAAACTTGTTAAGCATTATAATTATAACGTATTAATAGTAGGGGAACGCTAAAATTTATAAAAATTAGAAGGGGTACTTCATCCCCCTGCGTCTCCCTTCAAGTTGAGCACTGGTTTTGTTATTGAAAAAAAATTATTCTGTGTATGTGTATTTACCTTGACAATATTACATTTTAATATTACTCCAAAGATCCTAGAAAGAACACCGTATCTTCCTTTTAAAATATACGAAAAACCCTTTCTTAGTTGTCACTGGTGATTCAACTAAAACATTTAAACTATACGCATAGGCGTATAAGAATTATTTCCGTATTATAAATAATAATGAAAAATTTATCGATTCAATAAGATAACCTAGCTCAGCGATTCCCTAAAGACTTCGTGGGACAATCTTAAGGGTTCCCCAAGGTGTATATGAATATTGAGAAAGGTAATTGTAGTAAATAATAATCATGAATTACCTTTAACACATTTCTTGGAGTATGGGTTTTACAGTAAATAAATGAAAAATTGGGATCAAGTAGGAGTTAGAGACGTTAGTGTTCCACGAAAAAAATAAATCCTAAGGGTTTCGTGGTCGTAAAAGTTTGGGAACCGCTGACCTAGCTTAACCTACCTAAATAATAATCCATACGATATCTTTTAACAAATCTGCGGTAATATATCAACGAAATAAGGTTACTGGTACTGATGATTATGATTTTCATGGTTCAGTTATAGGATTTTTTTTTTATTGTAAATTTTCCATTTTCCACGCACGATTTCGAATCAAATAAAATTGTAATTGTAATCGATACAACGCACAGTTCATTGCTCGTCGGTAAACAAACTCAAAGAATCCACTACTGCCTGATTTATATCTATCTCGACGACACGTAATGTACTTCGCACATGAACTGAACAATAATAATGCGTACGCAATCGAATGTACGGTTTGCACTCACCCACACCATTATTGCTACAACTGCGCACGACTGTGAAACAAGGTTTTTAATTAGTCTAATAATGCGGTGTACACGATTTACGAGGATTATGCACTTGGAACACAATGCA